AGCCCGCTCCGAGTCAGGCATGTTAATGAACCGATATCAACTGACCCAGGTGGAGAACAGATCGGGCGCATAGCCTTACTATGTTAACTCGCCTCGAGAAACCCCCTCGCTTTGGGGACCTAATTCTAACAATTCGGCAATATAGTCACTTTGGCAAAAAGAAAGACTGACAGTGCACAACACTTAACCAAAAAGGGTATTTCATTACCAATGTTTCATTTACAATCGATTTAATGCAAAGACAAAAAGAAAAAATGAGCTCACAGGCTCGACACATATCACTTCGGAGGCACACCTCCCTCGCCCAAGACATCAGAAGGAACTTCGGCAGCACTCGGGGCGTCTGCTTCATCTTCAAAGGTTGGGTCGTCGTCAGCCGCGAGAGCCATCTCTGGAGTAATGCGCGAGGTGGTTATGGAACGGGTGTCGAGTCTGGGATACGTATGCCATATCATCCACCTGCTCAACTTGAAACCCCTCCGATACGAGCCCACCATCAGGTCGTCAAAGCGCTCCGACGCGATATAGTCTTCAACGGCCTTCACTTTAGTGTCCTCGATGGCTTGGAAGAAGATCTCAGACTTTTCCTTAATATCGGCCTTAAGGTATTCCACCTCGTGCTCTAAGACCCCTTTTGAGTTCGCAGGTGCTTTACAACAAGCCTCAAGGCCCCATTCTCCCTCCGAAGCCTCTCCAACTCGCGGTCCATTGCGACCTTCTCCGACGTCAAGGTCACGATGGCATTCTTCTGAGCCGAAGTATCACCCTCGAGATGATAGATCTACTCTCGAGCTATCCTTAGCTCGGTTTGCACTGCACGGGAAGCCTCTTCAGCAGCTTGAGCCTGCTTCGGGTTCCTCTCCGATTGAATAGTTAGGGCATGGTGGAGGAGTTAACTTGCTAAGCAAGAACAAGTCAGTCCGGCAAGAAGAGAATAAAAAAGCACAGGAAAAACACCAAGGGAAACCACTTTGACTTACCACCATGGCATGAGACGTAGCACGTGCGTCGATGTGACCTGGAGGAAGGTCAGCCCATTCCAAAACCTCCACAGGATAGACGGCCTTTTTGCTCTTACGGAGAGCATAGCTCGGCGTCAGCACACTTCTGACCCACTCCTGGCTCCACGAGCTGGAGAGTACCGTCTGAGTATGGGAAGCTTCCGGCTCAGGCCCGGCCACCTCGGGCTCCCTGGGAGACTCCATGTTGATGACTGGAGGATGGCTTGGGACTTCGGGCTTCACAGCCCGAGGAGACTCGACACGAGCCCGCTTAGTAACCTGCTTTCTTCTCTTCATCCCATCGAGCAAGTTGTCGCCATGAGTCTTCTTTGCCTCCATGACACCTACAAAAAGAAGGTCGGTATCAGTAAAAAAAAATGAGTAAGAAACCTACTCGGAATCAGACCGGCCTGGATAAGCTTAGCCTCCGTAAGGTAATCTTTGTACTCGAACCCGAGCTGGTCTCAAGACTAGAAGGTCTCCGCCATGTCCTTGTCTAACATGGCACCGGGGTCGTGAATAGCCACCCTCCAATGGGTGGGGAACGTCCACCCCGTAGCACTTCGGACCACAAAGTAGTCTCACTTCCACGCTGGGACCTTATTTGGAAGCTCGTCTAGAAGTTTAAACCTCGGCGGGGAGACAAGTAATAGGCCTGCCTGTGCTCGGGAAGGAAGCTCACATGCTTCTTAATCGTGAAGAGGGCGGAGAAAATTTCTAAGTCTAGTGGTAGGACATATTCACAACAGAGGGAGATGGTCTCAACGACGTTGCGGATGGAGTTCGGGTGGAGTTGACCAACGGTGACGCCGAAGTGATTCAAGACCTCGACGATAAGGGAATGAAGAGGAAGGCGCAACCCGGCGACGAGATGCTCCCAGAAAATCATGATCTCATCCGGACCATGCTCCCAAGGGAAGTCGCCCGTAGGTAAACTATAGGTGTACTCCCCGGGCAGATTGAACAGACGAACCAGAGATCGAAGTCTCTCAGACGTCATAGTGGAAGGTCCGAACTTATCTGGCATCCAAACTCGACGAGAAGTGGATGTCAGGCTGCCAGAGGTGACCCAAACTGAAGACCCTACCTCTGGCTCATCCAGAAGGTTGTCGAAAGAAGCAGCCCGAGCTGAGGTCCCCACCTCAAGCTCTCCTAGAAGACTATCTAAGCTACCCAAACTAGACATTGAAAGGAAAGGAATTGAAAGAAAAGCTAAGGGGACTCACCAAGGAAAAGCTACCGGACTAGGAAAAGTGACGCGAGCTGAAGACCTTGGACGCGAGCTCAAAGAACAAGTGCTGAAGACTATGGCCAGGGAAAAGTGACCAGGACCCCCCATTATTTATAGCTGCTATACCCATGCATCAACGGCCAAGATCAAAGTCATCCAATGGCTCTCAGAAAAACCGGTTGCACGACCCCCGAGGTGAAATCAGTTTAGCACGATTTTTTTATGTCCAAAAACTAATAATCGTTTGACGTCCGCGCATGAGCTATACGCGACCCGGGTTGACCCTTGGTCGAGCCGAGCTAACCCTGATCGAGCCAAAGGCATAGGCAGGTCAGGCTGGAGGATCACCGAGTTGGACAAAGCGTGCCATGAGGCAAATCCACCCATCATCCCGTGAACTCCCCGCGCCGGGTCAAGACCCCGAGCATGGGGAGTGGGGGGCAACTGATGGAGGGAGATTTGGTCCGACCCCTTGGTTGCGCGACACGTGGAGGCAACCGGGTATGACCTGGCAAGAGCGTCAGCTCAGCACAGCGACATAGCCATAGCCCAAGAAGAGGCCCGAGCTCCCCAAGGAGAGGCCCCGAGCTCTCCAAAAGAGAAAGCACGCTTCCTAGGAGGTAGAACCCGAGCTTTCCTTAGAAATCCCGAGCCCAGCAAGGAACACCACGAAAGGCAAAGCCCGGACTAATCCACCTCGGGTAAGTCCGGGCCACGCTCCTGTCCGAGCTCAAGACTTCACCTCGTGCACCACTCCGACACCTCGGCTCCAGGTCGCGTGACTGAACGACCGTACCTAACACCAAAGAAGTTCGTACTCTGAGGCGGCGCACCTGACTGATCAGGGATCTGACACATGATAGCCGCACTCCAACGGCCACCTGCTACCGCCATCTCAGTCGTTGCAGAGATGGCTCCGACAGAGAAGACAGTGGCAGTTATGTCTGCCCCCCGCAGAGGCGGTTACACCTGATCTGGCAAAGGCTTGGGAGTGAGTGCACCAGGGCGGTTATAAAAGGCCCTATTCCCCCCAGAGAAAAAGTAAGTGATACTTTGCGCCTTCTAGTCTAAGAGAATTTCTCATCTTCCTTGCTTTCTCAAGAGTGCTAACTTGAGCATCGGAGCATTCTCATCGGGTTCCTCCCCCGGGAATCTCTTGTTTCCTCCCTGTTTCAGGCATCTCCCGCTCCGTCGGAGGCAAGGTTACCGGCAACTAGGACCAACCGGATCGTGCATCATCAAAATCCTATTCATAAATTTAATACTTACTGTTATATTAAAAAATAACTAAATAATATTATTAAAACTATCATTAATGATTATTTAATTAAATAATATAATTACTTACTATAATTGATAAATGTTGTTAATAACGTTCTCAACTGACAGTTTGACCATCCGGTTCAAACAGATGGCCTTTTCTGACAACGAAAATTACAAGCAAAAAATTACGGAACTGTTCTGGCCATTAGTTTTGGGTCGACGGTTCAATCATCCGGTTCGAATGGACGGTTCGTTCTGACAACAAAAATTATAGGCAAAATATTGAGTTTGTGAGGTCCATTAAATAGTATCATACGTGTTATGTCATTTGAGTGTGTGACTCATACGACCCGAAAACGAAACCATTATGGCCACTAGTTTTTGGGTTGACAGTTTGACTGTTCAGTTCAAATGGACAACCTGTTCTGACAACAAAAAATTACAAGCAAAAAATTACGGAACTGTTATGGCCATTGGTTTTCGGGTCGACGGTTCGAGGGCCCGGTTCGAACGGACGACCCATTCTGACAACAAAAATTGCAGGCAAAAAATTGAGTGTGTGAGCTCCATTAAGCAGTATCATATGTGTGATGTCATTCGAGCATGTGACTCGTACGACCCAAAAATGGAACCGTATTGGCCACCGGTTTTCAGGTTGACGATTTGACCATCCGGTTCGAATAGATGTCCCATTCTAACAACAAAAATTAAAAAAAAAAACAACCAAAAACCATTGAACGGGTCAACAGGTTAACGGCTTGACCACTCGGGTCAATGGGTCGTTGATCGATTCAACGGTTTTTGGCCAAGAACCAAGGTTGGGGTAAAATGGAACTGGTTGCCTGGACGGTTCCCAATTAAAAAAAAAAATGGATGACCCATTCTGACAAATAAAATTACAGGCAAAAAGTTGAGTTTGTGAGGTCCATTAAACAGTACCATACATGTTTTGTCATTCGAGTATGTGACTCATACGACCTGAAAAACGAAACCATTTTAGCCACTGATTTTCGGATTGGTGGTTCAACTGTTCGGTTTGAACGGATGGCCCATTTTGACAATAAAAATTAACAAAGTAAAAAACGACCAAAAACCATTGAACATGTCAATGGTTCGATTGCTAGGATCAATGGGTTGTTGACCAATTCAACGATTTTTAACCTGGGACTGAAATTAGGATAAAACGGAACCGATTGCTTGGATAATTCCCATTTAAAAATAAATAAAAAAACAGTCAAAAACCATTAAACGAGTCAACGAGTCGATGATTCAACCACTCAGAACCTATTGACCGATTCAACGGTTTTTGGTCACAGATCAACGGTTCTATTCCAATCTCTGCGAAGCATCTCCTCCGCTGGTATTTATATTATTATAATATATAAAATTGTATATTTTATATTTATATATTATTATATAAATTTTACATATTAAATCAATTATATAATATAAAATAATTATATAAGGTGGTGAGATGACCTATCTTCTGTTAATATACAATCAAAAGCCCAGCCTGTGAACAGAAAAAATATTGCCATCGGTAAGATACAGGGAAGATATTCTAGGCCGAGAGTATCTTTCCTGTAATCTTTCCGGTGGTGGTTTTCCCCACGTCGGCAACGGTAATATATTTTCTCTGTTAAGAAAGAGAAATAGAAAATTGGTAGTTTTTCATTTTGGTGATCGGTGTTTCTCTTAGATTTGCGAAAGATTACAACTGCAGCAAAAAGTCCATGTGAACAGAAAAAATATTACCGTTGCCGACGGGCAGAAAATCGCCATCGGTAAGATACAGGGAAGATATTCCCGGCCGAGAGTATCTTTCCTGTAATCTTTCCGATGGTGATTTTCCCCCCGTCGGCAACGGTAATATATTTTCTTTCTGTTAAGAAAGAGAAATAGAAAGTTAGTAGTTTTTCGTTTTAGTGATCGGTGTTTCTCTTAGACTTGCGAAAGATTACAACTGCAGCTAGCACTCCTGCCTATAAAAAATTTCTCTGGCTTTCCCTTGTTACATTTTTTTCTTCTTTCCTTCCACGGGAGTACCAGTAAAGAGTATTGACTACCTGTTAGTTTTGTTGAAACGATTGGAAACTGCGATTGAACAACAGAAGTTCTTGTTTAACAATTAAACCAAAGGTGATGATTTTTCCCTGTTAATTCTTGGTCCTGTTTTCGCCATTATATTGATCAGTTCTTTTCTCATTCTACGTCGGGGTTATTTTATTAACAAGACCAGATTTATATTTTTCATTAACAGATTTCATCTGAAGATGGCGCAGTCAAAGCTTGGTTCAGAGTCTATAGAGTGTCGAAAGGCCCGGAAAACGTTTACGAAGAGAATGCAGGGTCTAAAGAAGAAAATGCATGAGCTCACCACACTCTGCGATGTCGAGGGTTTCATAATTTGCTTCGATGGCCTTGAACAGAGCAACGAAGGCAGTGCCATAGAGCCTATTATATGGCCAGAGAATCGTGAGAAAGTGTTGGACCTTATAAACCGGTATAGAAATCTCGAATCCAACACTCAGTCGAGGAAGCGGAAGTGGAGCTCATTGGACTTTTTGGAGGAGGAGAAGAAGAATCTGCAAGATGGTATAACTAAACAGAAGGGAAAGACTTCGAAATTCCCGTCAATGGAGGAGAATGGGATTGATGGTTTTTCAGTGGAGCAGTTGATGGAGATGGGAAAAATGTTGGACTTACAACTGGAAATGGTGAAAGAAAGACAGGAGATTCTGAAGGAAAAGCAAGGGAAAGAGTTGGAAGAAAGGGGGCAGATAGAATGCTTCAACCCTGAACTGTATCCGAACTATGACATTGTTCTACAGGGTCCAGTGTCTCAAGCTCAATCTCTTGATCAGATAGAATGCTTCAACCCTGAACTGTATCCGAACTATGACATTGTTCTACAGGGTCCAGTGTCTCAAGCTCAATCTCTTGATCAGATAGAATGCTTCAACCCTGAACTGTATCCAAGCTATGACACTGGTCTACTGGGTCCAGTGTCTCAAGTTCAATCTCTTGATCAGATAGAATGCTTCAACCCTGAACTGTATCCAAACTATGGCATTAGTGTACTGGGTCCGGTGTCTCAAGTTCAATCTCCTCATCATGATCAGTTTTCTCATCATCCTGTGATGCCAATGCCGATGGTATACCACCCAGAAATAAACCCAAGTAACCATCCAGGTAAATTCTTCTTCAATGGAGGTCAGGCGATGATGAATGGAGTTAATAGTGGATGCAACATTCCAATGGCGAGCCAATTTTGCCATTATAATCATTCCGGCATTGGACCAGGGGAAATGGAAATCAATGGAAGCAACAACAACGATATGGACATGCTGATGTTGAACAATTTTGATGGTGGCAACAGCTTCCCAATGGTGAGGCCATTTTATAATGCTCATCATGTTCCTGGCTTTGCGGGAAGTATGGGAATCTATAGCAACAGCTACTTCAGCAGCAGCCTAAGTCACTTGGAGTCTATGGAGTGTTCATGTTGCTTTCTTAACCCCCAGCCATTGCCAGAAGCTTCCATGCCAATCATTCCAACTGCAGCTTTGGAATTTTCACCTGAAGATTTGCAGACAGTCATGGCTGAAAGCCAAAGAGGGCTAGGATGTTTTGATTTCTGTTAACTATTGTTTTTGTTTTTGCAATTTGTGTTGTTATAACATCATACAAGAGTTTTTAGGATTGTCTTGTCTTGTAAGTTGCATACAATTATAGGTTTCATTTACTGTGATCATGAAAACTATTGTTTTCAAGTCATCAGAGTTTCTTTTACAGTAATTTGTACAAAGAACTTGTTTTGTTTTATAAAGTTTCTTTCTATGATGATATGAGTATTTTTCATTGTAAAGGATTTTTTTTTTTTGTTATTTAAACACTAGTTTGCAGCCTTCTGCCACTTCCCTCTCGACTACATACAATTCCATGTTTAAGTGGTGTACTTGATATTAATTCCAATAGGATTGGGCTTTAGTTGATATTAATTCCCTCTATGTCACCAGAAGCCTATATTTTGACCATCAATAAATTAACCTCTAAGCAGAAAAAAGCCTGATGAGGCAAAGGAATCCATGATCCAATCTTGTTGCTTCCGATCAGGCCTTGTAAAAAATTAGATGCTAGAGAACAATGCCAAAGATGGGGGTTAAAAAACAAAAGAAAAACTTTGCTGGACACTACAAACAAGGTTGGACCCATGAAAAGGTCAACCTGGTTGAGAGTGTGACAGATCTGATTTCACTTTTAATGTTATTTCTTAACATTCCTCATGAATAAAAAGTGAAGAGGGGTAATCTAGAACAGAATTAGAAACAAGAACATTATAAAGAGCCTAGTGCCTGTTTGGGAGGGCTGAAACGTTGTATCTTCTGGCTTTTCAAGGTGGGCCTCCCATGAACAACCTATAATATACGTTTGGTGAAAAATCCATGTCACCCTCGAATTCTGGCTTGGTTTTTCCTTTTTTCCTTTTCCATTGCAGGCTTAATAATGACAGAGATAAAAGTAATGGTTTCATGATAATTGTTTTTTTTTTCATCTTTTTGAATCTCTGTTCTTCAATTCCCATGGCAAGAAATGTAATGAACCAGAACTCCCCTCTTTATCTCTACATAGAACCTCACTCCCAACTCATTTGATCGTATCCTTTGAAGGTTGGTTAGAGATTGGGAAACCAATGGCAAATCATTTTCCTATAAACTGTCTCTTTTGAACCTCAGACCCTGGCCTAACCTCACCCACATAGCTCCTTGTATAGCTTTGAGGGTCAAGTTGCATGCCCCACCCTTTCTAGGCCTTTATTTAATGATCTTTATAAGTATCCATATTAATAAATTATTGACATGTTTTATAAGCATGTAATACAGGGTATATTAGACATACTCATTTTTGTTTTGTTGTTGTCTATTCTGGTTATATTTCAGAAGTTAATTTAAAAGATTGTGGGGCTATGATAGCTGAGTAAACTTGTTAAACCAAAGACTTTACTAGCAAGCTAGCTGGCACCTACGAAGGCCCTCAAAGGGCAAAGGGCAAAGTTCTAATCTAAAAACTGGTTGACATGAACAGGTGGGCTGCATTCTAAATTTCTAATATAAACTTTTCAGTTCATTTTGTCACAAAGTGACATAGTCATATCAGCATGTTTGGATCTCTGTCTGTCTTTACACTCGAAGGCCTTGGGTATGATGCTTTTTAGCAGAATGCTCAAGGCTTATATTAAACCATTTCTGCAATAACACCTATTATTGTTGTAAAGGCTTATATTAAACCACTTCGTGATCTAAGTTTGTGTCAAAACATAGATTGTGAAATTACAGTTGCAAATTTAGCAGCACCACGTGCTCAGATCAGGCAGTTGGAGCTTGGGATTAATTTTACAACTCTTGGGCCAATCTTCATTTTCATACTCACCTACACAAACTTGAGCTGATGTTGAGTGGACTGGGCGTGGCCTATTCACAACTCTTTTAAGTATTTCTCATGAAGGTACAAATGGCTACATCTCTCATTGTCATGGTGTTATACTGTGTCACAATATCAGGATTCACCATGACTTGGCTGGGCTGGGTTCAGTTTTGGTGGGTACCATGTGTCAACTTACTTTAGTTTGTTGGTACTTGCAAATTGCATCTGTGTTATTCTAGTTTTCTTGATGCACTATGCAATTACAATTTATATACAATGAGTCTAAATATCTGTACATTATGTAACCACTACAAGAAAATATATTTCTAGCAGCAGTTTTAAACCTGGCTGTTTAACAACTTCCGCTAGAAATATTGATATATAGCGGCAGTCGATTAAAACTGCCGCTACATAAAAGGCTCAAGTTTCACTTTCCCTTCCTCGCGCCTCTTCCCGCCATCTCTCTCACAATTGTCCCTCTCTCTCTCTCTCTCTCTTGCTCTGTCAAGGGAGTGTTTTGTCTCTATCAAAAGAGTGTTCTATGGTAAAGTCCATGCTTCTCCGGGCCGCCTTCTTGGATTGGAAGCTTTCTCTAGAGTTTTGAGGTAAGATCGGTTCTTCGAAAAGTATATGCATTCTAGGTTTTATTTCTATTGTTTTTGTTTTTTTTTTTGTTTTTTTGTTTTTACCTCTGTTTTGGCCCTGATTGCTGGTCATTTGCCTTTTCCAACCTTTATCAGTTTTTTGATTTTTTTTTCCAATTTTCTGTTTGTTTTCTTGGCATGATAGAATTGAGCTCATTTCCTGAACTTATAGATTCAGGGTTTGTATCGTTCATTTGATACTTCCACTTATAAGAAGTTAAGAATATTTGTTTTAGTTCTGATATTTAAGCAGCGTACGTATGAATTTTTAGCTCTGCTGTAGATCTGTTATTCGACGCTTTTCGTTCTTGCTTAGACTCTATTTGACTCAAAATCTTCTGATGTAGATCTGCTGAATTTTTTAGTTGAAATAACTTGAGATATCGATTATAGATTGACCGGAGTATTCTCATTATAAGAAAAATAACTTGATGTATTTTATAACTTGAGATATCCATTATAGCCTCTACGTTTTCTTTGTTTATTTTTCTAAGCCATTGACATGATTAACTACTCTTATAGTTTGATGTACTTTATTGGTCTTGACTCTTTTAAATGATTAAAATAATAAGGTGTTTTCTTCTAACCCTTGGTTTTTTCTCTAATCTTAGATAACTATAGGGTAATTGACATGATTAAAATAATAAGCCATTGACATGATTAACTACGTTCATCCTGATCCGATTTCACAATGGTCTGACCAGATAACTATAGGGTAATTGCAGCACCGCACATTAAGAATATTTGAGAGAAATTTGAAGATATAAAGATGTAGTGGTAACTTCCTAGCAGTTATTTTTGGTAGGCTTCCAAATGATTTAAAAATCAATCTTAATATTTAGAATTATGAAATTGTCATCAGTTTTTAGTTTCAGATTTCTAGGTATGGGTAGTAACTGGAAAATTGTCAAGATATAAGTCAGACCTCATTGGAAATTTAGGATAGGTTGTTTTGCTTGATAAAGTAGTATAGATATATAGTTCATAATTTGAACAGTCAGGGCTTTTGTTCTCATGGTTATCACTACAATTCATTTTGAATAATTATAAAAAACAGTGTATTATACAAAGGTTTAGTAAGAACAAATTGAGATTCTCAAACCATTTTCTAATGCTTATGATCACCTAGAATACACAGACTGATCTTTCATATGCACAGGAAAAATGCAAAACAAAAATAACCATAGAATGCTGCGATTGCATTAGCTAGATAATAAATATAATTTGGCTGTATCCAACCCTGAGTGATAAAAACATTAAATACTCTATTTAGAAAGATAGGGCACACCTGAAGGGTCAAAGCACTGGTGTGTTTAGTGACCAATAAATTGGTCAAGTTTACAAAATATGCCAGTGCAGAATTCAAGAGAAGATACCATATAATCCTAATATCATCCCTTGCAAGTGCCAGCGTGATTCCAACCACATTTTCCTCCATCAGAAGAATTGCAGGAAGAAGGAACTAAACAGCTATTGAAGCCATGTAAAGGAGGTTCATAGAATTCAGTTTTTCCCTATACAATGGTAACAACACTTCAATAAAGTTCTCCAATTTCAGAATACCTCACACGTAACTAAAAGTCTCAAGCCCTTGAATTTAATTAGAAATGTATATATAATTCATTACCCTTTGGAAGAGAGCAAAATCCCTTGAAGAACTGCTTTGAGTGCTCTAGCAGCTGTGGCACCAATACACATTATGAACCCAAATAGGTGGAAGCTTGGTTCACCCTACCGTCATGCCATAAGAAAGACATAATTAAACATTTCTTTTGGTTTTAAGAAGCTGAATATTAGATTGTTCAGTAGCTACAAGAATAGAAATAATATACTCGCTTAAGGAAAGAAAATAGCAATAGAAACAGTGTTTATGACCAATGGCTGGGTAAAAAAATTTAGGAAAGAGGATTAGCTTTTAAAGCTTGGACATCTTGAAGTTCAGAATAGCTGGGTAAAAAAATCTAGCAAAGTCAATGGGTTGGCCTCTTTTAAGAAACAACACAAAAAGAAAGCCGTTAGATTTGGTAAAAGGAAGGAAAAAGTTGGGAACTATCTTGTTTAAAGTTAGTCATTTTCTGAACTGGTTTAATATAATGCCTTCCATATGCAGGCCCCATAAACAAGTTCTTCCCCTCCTACAGCAACTCCCCAAGTTACACCAGCAACCTCAGCTCCATGAGTTTTTCATTTACTTTCTATTGCATTTGAGTGGCCTTTGGACCATTATACTTTATATGTTGTTGGTTAACTTTCTTCATTTGGCAGCTCACCATCAGTTCCTCTACCTGCACCTACCCCTGTCACAGCTACCCCTGCTTCTACTACTGTCACGTGAGCTCTCTTCTTTGTCTTACATACATATTTCTGTAGGTCATGTATATTTTCCTTATGTATATATATTAATATAAACATGTATTTCAATATTGGAGTGGATCCATTTTGGGATCAAATTCAGATTGCCTTAATCAGATTCCACTTAGAACCTGAACAAACAGGTACAGTTTGCAGCTCTATGTCCATTTACATTAACATTAACAATAGGAATGGATCTCTGACTCATGTTCATTATGTTTCTTTATAGGGGGTTGGGTTCAGCATCAATGAATTGATAATAAATTTTGGGCCTTGGGGGTCATTGTTTGTTTTCCTGTGAATGTCTACGTGCATTGGTCCTTCATCCTTGACCTGCCTAAAATTCTACTGCTCATATATGACGTTCATTTTAGTGCTCCATGTTGGGAGATCATAACATGCATATTTCATGCAACAAGAAATAAATCTGTAAAAGCTAGGACAGGTTATATGGAAAA